ATCCATGGGGAGGTTGTCACGGCTGCCTTCGGCAACTCTGAAACAGTTCCGACATTGAAGTCCGAGCTCTCCTTTGTGCCAGTCATGCCACGACACTTGTCGTCGAGACCGAGCAGCGCCGAATCTGTGGGGCCTTGCCCACCGTGCATCATTGTCAAAACATGGGAGCACCTGTGCCGCAAGCTTGATGAAGTGCCGTGCTCTCTCTCCAGCGAGGCTTAACTCTTGGACAAAATCTGGCATCGGTGCTGGGTGCAAATTCAGGCCTTGTTTTGCATATCGGTCGGCAGCAGCATTCGCGAGCGCAAAGATCTTTTCTTCGCCCTCCAGGCCCTGAATCTCCGCGTCATCGCGATGTGCCTTGACGTGCCGAACAGTGTGAATCAGCTGGGTGCCTTCGAGCTCGTGCGCGAAGGCCCGCACTCCAGCGAACTGGCTGGAGAGGGCAATCTGGCCATTCACATTTTTCTGACAGACACGAATGGCAGCCTGACAGTCCGCACCCAGCACTGTGGGTCGCGTAGCAATCTGACCGCAAATAGCAATACCGCAGTGCTCAGCCATTGCAGGCGTCTGCGGGAGGACTCCTGGAACTATTCCTTGGACAATCGCCACGGGGTCTTCACCCTCGTCGGGGCATACTGCGATCGCCCAGGCCGCGCGCTGCAAGGGTCGGATCCAAGGCTTGGTGCTCGAACCATCTGACGCAAGACGCAACGGGGCTTGGGTGGTGAGACTAGCGATTGACTCAGGAGTCATGTCCAGATCGTTGCCTTGCCCGTCATAAATATAAACCTCAGACGACATCGACGGGCAAGGCAACGCGCTGTCTTCATATACGTGAACCCCTCGAGTGAAGATGGGGTTGTCGGGATCTTCGCAAGCCGCGTTGAGGAATGAATCAGGCACCTCAGACGCCGCCCGTGCATCAACAACTCGCGTAAGCTGGCAGGTATACAACCTATGGTGGACTGTGTCTCGTTTTCCACGCTCACACAACCCGTCACACAAGTACCCCGAACGCATGACACGATCATTGGTCCACGGTCCACCGCAGCCGCAACTCTTAATTAGGTACTTTTGAAACCGAGTGAGTTTTCGGGCCTTGGGTCCGACTTCGCCCCGAATCAGGTCCAGGGTGGCCCTAGTTCCCGGAGGGAAACCGAGCGTTCGAGAAAAATCAAATTCCGTCTCTCTCTGCAGTCCAGCTTCCAGCTGTACGGCCAAGAGAGCAGGGGGCGTGGCAGACAGGTCTACTCTGAGTCCATTGTGGTCTATCCAGAAGCATGGGCCTTCAGCCCTCCAGCCAGCACGCTTTAAACTGAGAGCAGCTCTAGAGATGGGCCCCTGGGATCTGTTCCAAGTTGGGCACTCCAGATGCTGACACGAATCCCAAAGCTTCAAAAGCTCATCGCGCGAGACCAGCGAGAGATCGGGACGCCGCGAGGCGGTCCACATCATACGGCACCATTGTATAGCAGGAGCGATAGCATAGCGAGCACTACCATCCCCAAGAAGGGCGACTTTAGCCGCGAGGGAAACGCCCCCGTGAGAAGGCCCCTCGCTGCGGGCCATCATTCTCCTAAGGTTCAGCCACTCCGAGGCCGTGGGGCCCAAGACCCCCGTTCCGAAACCGCAGGCAGGAGCAACGCCTAGTTTGGACACCTTGAACGGGGTCTCCTTGGGTCCCTTGAAACGCCTTCGGAGGGCTCGAACCTTGCGAATTCGCTCGTTCATAATAGCAATGCGGCCTTTTTGTTTCAGCCGAGCTCGCTGTGCATACCGTCGAGCGCCTGCAGATTCATCTATGCCAAGATGCGCAACACTCGCCTTGCAAACAGATCGTGGCAGCTGCAGAGCCGTGCACACGTCTCGAGCGAGCTCCTTCGAGGTAGAGACAATTGACAGCTTCCCTGGGTGCAGCTCCGCATTCAACTTCGAACTGGCCGCCTGGAACTGCTTCATCCCCGCAACTGCCGCTGACTTAGCTATTACGTAATCACTCGAGGCGACATGGAGCCCAGTATCGTCGATGTAGTTCTGGGAGTCCACGAATGGAGCCAGCTCAACGAACGTGTCGAAGGCGTCGACAGCGTTGACCTTGATCGCCAGGTCGCTGTAGCCGTCGCCTGCAGGCAGCCCATGAGTGGCCACCAAGGCCGCCAGGGCGTGGTGTCGCCCAAGTCGGATGACTCGCGGGCACGACCACATGTTGACGACCAGCTTCGACCAACAATGAGGAGCTCCGTGGCGCTGAAACTCGCGTCGCAACCCGAGTAGCGGAATCGACTCATAGTACTTGACCCAGTCCACTGTGATGGGTACTCCATACTTGTGAGAAGCGTGGTTGCTCTCTGATCGAGCCGCCTGCAACCATGCACAGTCAGTGGCCGATCTCCCACGGCTGGCACCCCAGTATCTTCTGTCGAGGGCGTCGTGCATGTGCGCAACCATGGGCTTGCGTGCTCTCTGCCACATACGGTAGATGGCAGCATCCAATATTATCAGACGATTGCCTCCAGACGGCTTTGCCAGCATCGGCATCTGGATCCAGCACAGCTGCTTGGGCAACATGCCTATGGCTTCAGACGCCGAGAGCAGCAGAGCCAGCGTGTGGAGGCCGTCGTCGTCAAGGAGCAGGAAGTGCCTCGGGTGAAAGTTATCATAGCTAGTGACCGTCCCAGCTGGAAATGACATGGCAGCACGTCGCAGGTCGGCTGGCTCCAGGAGCGGGCACATCGATCGGTCTGGTACCCAGGGTGGGAGAGCGACGTCGGAAGCATGCCATAGACGACGATGCAGTTCCACTTCCTGCGCAACGATAATAACAGGGTCGCCTGACTGAATACCAGCTGCCACAGCTGGCGTCGGGATAGCCTTGACCTTGGTAAGTCGATGCAGAGGGCGGGCGTCGCCGCAGGATGCTGCGCTGCACCAGTCGGCCCATGCTGCATTGGAATCTTTGGTCTGACCTTTGACTGCCAGGGTTACATCACCAGCACTATCATCAACGAACGATTGAATCTGGTCCATGTCCATGGGGATAGCATTGATTAGGTTTCTCGCCTGCACGACCGTGGCGTCTAGGCGAGCGTTGAGGCCTTGGCCTGGGTACGGTGACGTCACAAACAGGGCGATCTCCTCAGAACATTGCACCATGGAATCATCTTTGGTATATAACGCTTGAATCGTGGTGACCATGTTCTGCAACCACTGCCAGCCTTGACCAATACTCTGTATATCATTCGGATCCTTAGTCGGGCATGTCACATTGATCCATCGAGGCTCGAGATTTCTGGCATATGCACTGGGCCCACGAAGCTCCACTCCCACATTCTGCGCAATGTACTCGGCGAAGGAAACAGCAAATCGCCCGTACACGCGTGTGAGGAGTGCCCAGACCACCGCCACGTCGCTGCTGGGGTCAGCCGCCAGCTCGACGGTGCGCTCAGCAAGGGCTCGATGTAGCGTCCAGTCGGTAGGCCTCGTGCGCGGCCCTGGCGGCGGGGTGGCAGGCAGCTTGGAGGAGACAGAATACACATAGTGCTGCACGTCCACCCCGTTGTCAATCAGCTGCAACTGCACAGGACGATGAGCCTTCTTGTGCCAGGTCATGACCGCGTTGACTCCCCGATAACCACGGACAACAGCATCATTGAGGCAGAAAAAGTCGATAGTGCTGGCGCCCATGCCTCCTCGGAACGTAGCCTGAGCAGGGAAGGCCAGAACCATGTCCACCTGCTGCGGGAAAAAGGCTTTGCTCCAGATCAGTCGGTGCCATGTTCCAATCACCACCCATGATGGCGGGCCCAGAACATGTCGAGAGCAAGCGACCTGCAGCAGCTAATATCTCAGCGTTTATGCCAACAGCCCCAAGGGAATCTTGCATATACACATTGAAGATCGTGATGGGGGGCCAGCCGCTGATGTCAACAATGACCTGCTGGAGTCGGTGGTCCCACACCAGCTGCCTTTGAGGTGGATGCCGAAGGCCCAGTGCGTCTCGAACGAACACTGCAACTCCACCTGAGGGAACGGTACCTGACGTACGACGGGCAGGTATGGCAGAGCATTTCCATTGACGGTTCTGAGCCCAGGAGTGAAGATCATCCAAGCTGTCCTCAATGTATCCTATCTCCTGGCATAGCAGTATCGTAGCTTTCGTCTTGGTCAATCGTGCCTTCAACGTGTCACGGCCTCCAGAAGCATTGAAGGTTTCAACAAAGAATGTGCCTTGAACATCAGGCTGCGCAGGTCGCCTAACAGCTCCATCACAGAGCCGCAGACCTGACATGAGAGGAAGGTTAGGAATGTTTCCTTCGCTTGGCCATGTCGC